GACGGGCTTTAATTTTCTGATAAAATATACTATAATAAGTTATTAATTATGACATTAAAGTAGTGTAGGTTGGTAAAATCGAAATACATAGCGAGCACGTTATTACACATTATTTACAAAAAAACATTTATAAAAAGGTACTTTGTAAAAACATGATAATATTGGTTATCTTAAAAAACCTAACCTTAACCTAACGTCTATGCTGGCAAACGCGAAAAAATAAATTAAATATACCTATTGGCTATTGTACAGTTAACGTTGTTCCGACCATAATGTAACCGATGATGAATCGACTGAAATAAAGTGTGGAAACGGTTTTAAATATAAATCGCTGCAGGTATCAAAGTATTGTTGAAAAAAAAAACACATCATAGGTACATCAATTTTAAGAGTAATTATATAGCTTGTGATCGCTCTAATTACATTATAGATCATTTTTCGCGTTTTTTTTCTCATACCATTGTTTAATTGTGTATTATACGATTTTATTGTTTCACGTTCGGAAAATATATTTTATGTGATTGAGCGCAGTTTTCTAGGTTAAGGTTATTTGTTTGGATATTTTTTTATAATAATTGCATTGTCGCGTTCGGTTATTAATTCCGTATAATTTGTATCCGCCTTCATTCGATATTATAAGTAGACAACAGTATTTCGTAGGTTGAGTTAGGTATAAAGTATTATATCAAATTTAGTGGGAATTTAAAATTATTGTTCAAATATATTATTATACGGTTTTTAGTATTATAACACGTATAGAATATATAATACATTCGGTTTATAGGTCTAAATTTTTTATTTTTATTTTATCATATTCGATTTAAAATTAATTTTTTCTTATATAGCGAATATCCGCATAACTTTTTATTTTGTTAGATATTATTCCCTTCTGTATGAGAAATAAACCACTCGTCAGCGACACACTATATTATTGTTTGTGAAGAGGGTTGAGGGTTATGAGTATATGACATTAAATTAAATACATAATAAAATGTGAATAGATGAGGTGCATATATATTTAAAAAAATACGTTGAAAATCCAATGTGTAATATAATATTATTATAATGTTGATGAACATTGAACAATATTTTTATTTAATAAACCTATTAATACGTATTATTACTGCGCACGTCAGGTATTCGCATTATTTTTCTGATAATGTAATTTCTTTTTGTAACTACTTTTTGCTATCGTTAAAGTTTTTGTTGGACCATAATGTTCACGTGTGGTGATACAGAGAATCACAGCGAAAGATAAAATTACATTAATACCTACCTAAAAAAAAAGATTATTGTAGTACACATAATATAATATGTATTTTTGTTATATTAATATACTATATAAGAGGGAGATACGTTGTTTGAAACGGGATCGAGCGAACGAAAGGAGAAAAAAGTGTCCCCAATAAAAACGACTTGTCGTTTTGCATTACCTATAATATATCTAATATATATATTTATACTTACCACTTATGCCGGACGATCGTTTTGAGGCTGATCGGTTTTACACCTTATAAACCCACTTATTTTTTCACCTCGGCGAGTTCCACGATTACCTACATAAACAAAATCATCAATTCGCAGTGTGCCAAATTACAATATTTTGTAGGCCATGACTTTTATCGGAAAAACGTATCTTGGTAGTAGGCGCGTTCTACTTATTATCGAGCCGCGAACAATAAACCAGCATTGTTTTTATGGCTGATTTGTCAGACCTTAGTCAATGGCGCCGAACAACAGCGAATTGTAATTAATATAGCGGTGAAGAGGGCGATGATGATGGAATTATAGTATATATTTTACGAACCGATCTAGGTTCAGCGGCAATAATATGTATAAAATTTGTACATAGGTACAGACTACCTATGATGATTAATTTTTTAGAACGGCTTATAACCAAACGAAGAATCAAAAATTATTTATTTATTTTTCAAACCGAATCACGTGTCCAACTCATTATTGCTAAAACATTTATTAGGCGTAGATATATCGGTACATGGGTATCGCGGAAAATGCGTATTGAAACCTGCGGCTGACTATCGAAAATCGAATGAACTAAAACACAGACATTTTGTGATGTCAATGTCATAGGATAATACAGCAACCGCAGTATAACGTTTCGCTGTTCTCTAAAATCATTTCTCCGCCGATCGTCTCGATCGCGTTTTATAGAAACATACAAAAATACTTAACGGGTGGCAACGTAATAGTATAATAGTAGAAGTAGTGAATAATAATAATAATAATAATAATAATAACGAGAACGACGACGTCGATGATGACGATGACGATGATAATAATGATGATGATGATGACTATGATAACAATAACAATGAAAATAGACTATTTTCCAGTCCGTTGGGTACACATCTCAGCGGTGGCACGAACCCAGTGGCGGGAACAGTACCGTTACCGCAAAGTTAGGCTAGTGGCACGTCGGTGGTGAGGAATATTTTCCGAGTGTACCGTTCGTCAAAATAATACAGTCGTCTGCGAATTATGATAATTTGACGTACGAAAATAACACGCGGCGGCGATATTGAATAATATTAAACGCGTGCGTAAACATATAGATATATAACATTAATATTAGATAGTATTTTGGTACTCGGAGATTTCGTCAATGAAACAGTCTGCTTACCTTCTATCCTGCATTCATTTATAATATCAAGTATATTGCGTGTTTTGCCGAAGCTACTCTGAATTAGATTATAATATAACAGTCGATAATAAGGGCTGAATTGGACTTCAAAAGCGAAGTACATTAATATTCTCCCGAGACAGAAATCTTGCAAAAACTTTCAGATCCGTTGTAATTTACATATTTACATACAGATTAAGAGAGATAGAGAGAGAGAGAGAGAGAGGCAGATCACTAGGTTATTTGAGGATACATTTTCTCTATTTAACTTTATCAAAAAGTCTCGTTCACCGAGATAAAATTTTAAAATCAAGAATTACGAACACTTATGCTATAAAACATACGATATTGGATAATTAAAACGTTATTAACAAAGTATTAAAAGCTGTAATAATAATCATATTAGACGACGCAACAGTATAGTTTGTGTAGACATTTAACGGGTCCCATTAAATCACAATTTTTCGTTGAAACACGAAACTTTAATACTATTATTATTATTATTGTCACGGATAAAATAAACAATAGTCGGTGTGTGAGTGAATTTATGTGTTTATAGATTTAATAAATATATATGTAAAAATAAACGATAACGTCGAGAATTCGTGACACATTATACGCATTTTGGGCGCGTCGTTTTCCGTAAAATCGTATTTTTTTTTTTACGCCCATCCATCAACGACGATAATTAATCGCGCTATAATAATGCCTCCCACGCAAATATAATAATTGTATTATATTTAACTATTATCATTTATCATTATTATATTTTTATACGCACCGTAAAACAGCGGTTTACCGTTACGACGCCAGTTCATCGCATGTTAACCCTCGCGCCATCCGTGTCGAAATATACGTAGTGATGAATATACCAATTACATATATACTTAAACTTTATGCTAGAATATGACTATGAAAATCAAAACTAAGGTAATATCAATCTCGGAATAATTTTCCCCATAGATTTAATACTGGTGTTGGTATTTGTACAAGAATATTTAAATTTAACTTAATCCACATAATTCATAAAACTATATATATTTTATATTAGCTAGAATTTTATAGAACCATTTTTATGATATTTAATAAAATAAAAATATTAGATATGATCATACAAATATCTACAATACAGTGCTATTTATAATATGCTTATAATTTTAAAGATAAACAAGTTCAATAATAACATTTTTTATTCTAAAATTATTAAATAATTGATTTAAAAATAATTATTGAATTTGATTTTTTTTCTTGATTCTATAACTCGTTTGGTAGGTACTTATGTTTACATTGTTTACAGTAATTACTCCACTATCATATTATTCATAAAATCAATATGTTACTTTATAATAATAATATATTACCTGAAAAAAATAACGCAAATATGACGTATGACGCACTATATTACGTCATATACATAACTTGTACGACAGTAATAAAATACGTAAATATAACATGAACGACATAACGAAATAAAAACTCACACTAATGAATCAAATGATACTCGTATCAAATATCACTTTTCATAATGATTACTAGTTACTGTTATTAGTAACCTTAAACACTGATTATATAATTTGTTATATTATTTTAATTATAATACAGTGAAATCTTAAAATATTGAACATTCTTAGTCGATGAAGATTTGTTAATTATTCAGGGGAGTCTGGTATTCAAACGGTTCAGTTTGTAAAAAATTATTATGAGTTTGTTCCTATAGAGACATCCGCTATTTGAAGGTGTCCACTGTTAGAGCGATGCCTGTTAGGAGAGATTTTACTGTAATATTTTCTTATTAAATTTGTAATGAATAAAAAATTTAATCCACATTAAAGTGTTTTTCTGGAAAAAAAATTGAAAAAAAATAATCAGCAAAACTGTTACGAGGTTAGGTCAAGTTAGATAAGGATCATCATTACCAGACAGACCCCTACTGACTTATTTTATGTTATTACTACATAATATGTATTTACTATTCAGTATTTGCAATAATTATAAGCTGTTATAAATATTGAATATAATATTAGATAGACATTTTTGAACTAAACTATATGAACAGAAAAATCAATCAGACGATCAGTGGTAAAATCTCAAGTCACAGACTTGAAATTTAAAATTATATTACGCTTGCATCGTTAATGATTATCAATATAAATTAATTTAAATTATGCTATTGGCATAAAATAGGTAATTTAATATAAATATTTAAACAGTAATTTATTATACTTCATAATATTAATGAGTTAAATACCTACTTTTTTTTTATTATTATTGTTATTAATAATTTTATTTATACGTTATTATACATCTTCTAGAATATTGGTACAAATGTTTAATGTGATTTTGTTTTGTTTTATTACAGATGCCAGTACGCGGCGTTCACGTTATTACTGATTCAGGTAAGACAACTGTTTTATTGATTGTTCGTAGAATATGTTCAATGTTTTGCATTGTGTGGCTTTAAGTACATGAAAGTTGTAACAAGTATCTTATTATACATGCACATTGACATACTGAAAAAAAGCTATCGCTTCTTATTCATTTTTCTGATTTAAGTGTCTATTCTATTCAAGTAAAATATTTTCATAAATTTTATTAAGTTTAAATCGTTATAATTTGATATCTGGGCTCGATATATTTATAACTATAGTCACCATTATAATTGCATTAACAATATTATACTAAACTGTTCTAATTTTAGAAATGATCAAAATAACCTCTTATTTTTCAATTATGCTCACTTTAAAAAGCTCTAAATTAATATAGTAAAATAATATTATAATTCGTACATAAATTTAAAAAAAATCGGTATTTTGATTAGACGCATGAAATGTATTATTATAAGACAAATAAATAATTATTATAAATTATTATAAAATACATGGTTCGAAATTTTCTCTACATATTGCTAACAACTAGGAAACGATATGTTACGATTTTTGAGCTCTGAATTTGTTTTACTGTGATTTACCTAATAATTTATATTTTTTTTGCACAAAGATGCATAGTGTATGATATTTTGCTATCAAATAGACTAGCTCAACTAGACATATTGAGTGGATAACATTGCGGTATATTTTAATGTGCGGTTACGCACCACGATTAAGTAATAATTTTTTTAAATTATACATAAGTTATTTTTTTTCTCTTCATTGCTGTGGTTGGATGATTAGGTTATTTTAAGGAATTTGATGAAGAAAATTATTATAGCATTTAAAGGATAATGAAAATTTAAAAAAATTAAAATATAAAATCTATTTAAAGTAACTTTTTAGTGATCTAACGTTAACAGGTAGTTTGCCAGATAATTAAGAAATTATATAGTAAAACTTTAACTCAGAAAAATAACAGAGAATATACGGCAAATATTTTTAATGATAAAATAGGAAATCTAATAAAAATAAGAAAACTTTTTAATTTATGTAAATGCATATCTATTTTTCGATATTTGACAATTAAATTTTTCAATTTGCATGTTGAAAATGTCGTTTTTTCATGTAGCCCGAGTTGTTTTTTCCTAAATCGTCTTTTTTTGTGACTATAGATATAATTATCGTTTTGTGTTATACGAGAATAACAAAAAATTTAGATCCAATTACATTTTTTTTTCATGGGTACGTTTATTTTTGAATTAAACGGCTCTCATTGTACTCAAAAGATGATGACAATAAGCGAGATCATTCATTGTGAACGGGGTAATAATAAATAAAGCATTACAAATTTGTCGTGTTATATTAATAGCGAGATAATTATGCAGTATCGTAACGAAAAACCACGCGCCAAACAACAGTCTAAATAATAATAATAATAATAATATTATTATTACAATTTACAGTCATTCATTATTATAGCTTCAGAAGAAAATGAATGTACCTAATTGACTTGATTAATAATATTGTAATATCCAAGAGCAATGCTCTCATAGTTATACGGAACAATTCGATTTATGCTCACGTCTTAATTAATTTTATTTTTTTATGTGTATACCTACAATACACTATTATTATGATTCATAACTTATTTCACCTGGAAAAAGTAAAAAAAAGTATAAATCACGTTTATATTGGATGTTCGTCCTAATACCTGCGCTGACTTTGAATGCGACACCCGTGGGTGTGTTCGAGACGTGTTATTTTATTACTTATTATATTGAGTTCGAAACCATTATTATATTATTATTGTTATCGAATTTCAAAAACTGAAATCGCGAATGTAGAATAGTTGTTTTTCTGCTTATTTTTTTTTTTTTTTTTTGGCCGTTTAAAAATTAGTTATAAGAATATTGAGCAACTGCGCAAACTATATAACATATATAAATTGATTTATTTTCATATTTTTCAATTTAAAACATAATGTATACTTAAGCACTATAGACGTTCAATATACAAATTTTATATTTCAAAGTTATTTAATATTATATTATAGTTAAAATTTAATTACAACAGCCCACGAATTAAAATAATTATACATCGAATTTGTAGTAATTGTATTAAATTGCAACAATGGTACGTTTGGGTATTTGTTAATGCAGTTCAGTTGTTCTGCATTATATGTGTACTTGCCTATGATATAATTAACGTAGTAAAGTGTAATTTCCAACCGATTTTCAATTGATTTAGAAACGCGATTGCATAACCTATATAAAAATATACTTTAAGATCCTAACAAAAAAAAAAATAAATAAATAAATGTTGAAATTGCAATGATAATGTTCTTCCGGTCAGAATCTTAAAAAGTACCGTTTTGACGTCGAAAAGGGTAGCGATGTGTGATGTATTATACTACGACTGGCATTGTAATAGTATCTACCTATCTTATTGTAACGTTTTTGCGATTTAAAACCATGACATTGTAAATGTAATATATTTGAATAAATGTAGGTGTATTTAGCGCGAATGATTTACATAATATATTTTATATTTGAACCGTAAAAATAATGTTCGTAACACATATACATAAATTATACACATACATAGCTGAAAGTAATAACATAGCATAATTCAGATATTTTTGTATTTGTATTATATATTATTAATAAACAATATTTTGGTGTAATTTTTGAAAGAAATAATCGTGACCAAGTCAAAAATTTACTGAAAAACGTATTCACGATTCATTGTTCTCGCATAATAATTACATAGAATGAAAATTAAATTGAAATAATACATTTTTCATGTATAAAAATAATATTATACAATACATCAGTAGCTCAGTGTCGTACATATTTCGAGAGACCTTACAAATGTCAAACGGTTAAATCGAGAATCTTTACGCCTGTGCATCATTTAGTCATTTAAAAAATTCAGACAAAAGTTTTATGTGAATTCGTCGATTTTATTACGTTGTAATCTACTCTCATTTTATTATTAAAACATTCGTCCTTGACTACGGCAAAGCAAAATCCGATACTTTATGTTATTTTTATTAATACATAGCAAAATACCATTCTCTATTACAACTGCACTTACTACTATGCCGTGTGTGTCTGTCATCTGGTATACAAATATTGAATTTTAGTATACATTTTAGCGATATTTGAACAATCTAAATAAATAGAATCGCGATAGACATCAACTGCATAATTGATACCTGTCTTATGCTGGAGATCACCAAACTTTTTTTACCCTAAGATCGTATAAAAATAACTCAGTATGGTCATAAATAAGATATTACATTATAATAACATACTAACTAAAATGTTTTACACAGTTGAGCTAAAATTAATTTATTATTATTATCGAGATTTGGGACTATAAGCTAAATAAGTTAAGTTTAGAGAATTGACTAGCCTAATATATGTTTAATTTGCTATGAGCTGTAGTATATCATTATTTTTATGTAATGGTTCAAAATATAAATCATAATCAGTAATCGCATTTATAATTTTTACTTTTACTATAGAAATACAATAAAAATTAAATAAAACATTACACAGTAGATAATTGTAAGTTTTAAACGGTTGTTACAGTACATCATGCGTTATTTACTATTTAGATAAGTTTATTTTAGTTAAGTTTAACACTGAAATATAATATGTAGGTACATTGTATATCTGTATAGTGTATATTATATTTTACTAAAATTAGAATAAAAATTAATGACATAATATCATAAATTTAGTTAATTTTTTGATTATTCACTGCAGTATTAAAAAAAAACTTCTAATCTTATATAATGAACACTATTTTTTTATTAGTATCAAATTCAATACGAATTAGATTTTAAATTGCATAAAACATACACGATCCTGGAAATCAAGTCAAATACAGAAGCCGATATACTTGGTCGTTATCCCCATCTATCGATACATACATAATATTACTGTTCCGTTCTTGTCAATTATTAACGCAAAATATTAATATTTAGCACGCATAACGTTGGAATACATGATGATTTTATAAATGCAGATTGCAGAGTACTAATTTTTTTATGATGCCTTACTAAAAATGTATAAACGATTATTAATTTAAATCTATTCCGTTGAATATAATTAGAACTAGAAAGGGTTAAGCTTATTTTGAAAGTAATAATGTTTTGACTTTGGTAGGCAAATAAAATAACCTTTATTGAAATATATTATTATTGACAGTAGTGGTGTTTTCTAATGCGCTAAAAAAAAAAATAACGCTAACAGTTTTCCAAAATAAATGAAGATAATAATATGCACAAATCAATCGCAGGCTCGACCGGTAATAGTGTCGCAGTACCTATAATACTGTAATCCTATTATAATAATAATAATATTATTATTATTATCATTACTATTATTATTGTCATCATTATGGCCGCCAATGACCTGTCGATATTCAGCTGGTATATTATTAATATTGTATACAGTTCTGCGACTCAAAGAACAGGACACATGCCAATGACGCACCGGTGCGACGTTGCACCGATCGATCGATCGTTTCAAAATTCGTTAATTCTCGTTTTTGATTAAAGATACATCTTTCATAATAATTTTAAAATAGTTTTTTACAGTTCGCACATCAAGTAACAGTATGAAATATGTTTTTTTTATTTATATTTATTTAATTTTGTCGAAATTTACTAATCGACTTACAGAAAACAGTTAATTTGATCATAGAAGCTCACATCGTAAGTACATGCAGACTGTTTTGTTCCCACCCATTTTACATTAAGTAAGTATCTACGATTAAAACAGTACGTACTTCTTGTACGACCGGATTTCTTTTCTGTCGTCTGACCACGATTCACATAACGTTTCACTGACATATCTGTTGATCTGTTCTTTTTGTAAGATCCGGTCCAGTTTCTAATGACGATTCATTCACTGGGATTAGATACGTACGGTATATAATATTATTGTTATGCTGTGATAGGATGTATTATTTGTTTCGGCTTTGTACTATGTAGCGACATCTCGGGAATGTTTTTT